GTCACTGCCTGCGAAGTCTCTAGTTTGAATTCCAGATTGCAGTACCGCACAGAACCTGCTCGGTGAACCACATGGGTCTTTGCTACACTTAACTGCATTTGCTGAATGCAAAGCTGACTTACTGTTTCCTGTTTGTTATCTTGGTGTGTTCTTTTTTAAATCTAGCCGAGCCCTGGACCTCTGTTTCGTGCTTATCAATCCCACAACGGTGCGATGCGTAATCAAGGAGCTACTGTCTTACCTTGAAAACTGCGACGCAGAGTTCAAGTCCGACGTCTGCTCCAAGATTATCACCGCCGTAGAGAAGTATTCACCCAACAAACGCTGGCATGTGGATACCACGTTGATGGTCCTGAAGTTGGTAAGATGTGTCTCAGTCAATCTGTCTTGAACAGGGGTCCCTTTTCGTGAATAACTCGAGTAGTAACTCGAATATGTATATGCTACTGACAAACCTTAAGCAAGATGTTCATTTTATCTTGAATGCCTTTAACCAGAGTCTGTTACTGCCACATATACTGGACTGTTTCATTTTTACCTTGATAGGCTGGCAATCGCGCACGAGACGATGTTATGGCGTCAATGGTCTACCTCATTTCCCAATCACCGGAGCTGCATGCCTATGCGACTGTGCATTTGTACAAAGCAATGCGTGAGAGTATAACTCAGCAACCCCTAGTACAGGTATGTGTTTGAGATTGCACAGTAAAATCCCGCAATTTTTTGAGCGGGGAGGAATTACGTTCCTAGATCTCTCACAGATTTTGAACCGACAGCTATCAAGTGCCTTTAAATACTAAGTTCATCCCCGGAGTACTTCAGTATCACTATCAGTTTATTGAGGGAAAGATAGGCGAACGCCTTTGAACTCCCTGTTGGTAACAAGATGATGGAAATATATCGGTACAGAGAAAAAATTAAAAAGTACGCCAATTATATGTTGCGGATGAAGACACAGCAGTTGTCGGGTGAGTGAATATTTGAAAAATATGAGCGGATGAACGTGTAGCCAATAAAAATGCAGGAAGACCTACAAACAGACGAGCGGGTGTATCCCCACGTTTTTCGTACTATATTCCTTATTATATTATTTTAGATTACTTTTTAATTTTTTTAGATGTAGGAAATGGT